TTAATTTTTTAAAATGATAGATTAATGATAATCACTATGCTTGCCTAAACCAAACACTCAGTCAATGTAGTAAGATAGTCAAAGTAGCAACACTCTATGCATGTTTTTAAAACATGTTTTTTTTTTTTTTTTAAGAAAAATACTATTAATTAAAAAAACTTTCTATTCATTATTATTATGGTTTTTTAAAACTTGATAATAGTTAATGTACGTCCGCATTATTTTAATTGCTTTAACTTTTAGACAATATTAAAATGTAGCTTATTTGTTAACGTCATTAAAATGTTGTTGAAAGAGACTTTTTCAAATAAATAACAATTTTTTGAAAACCTTTTAAGCATGTTTCATCAATAACAATTGACCTCATCAGGTATAAAAAAAATTAGTTACAATTTATGTATATAAACATTTATTTGGCTACATTTAAAATTTTATTAGTTTTTACAATAATTACCATAGTTACAATATATTATTAATGAAATAAATAATTAACGAGAAATGTTACAAAAGATTTTATAAAAGGTGTGAAGTAATTAATAATAAAATCAATAAGAGATAAAAAGTAAGAAAATTGAAATATTGTATTGTTATAGTAATAGTGTATGATTTTAATTGTGTATTTTAAAGGTTTTTCTATTTCAATATGGATACCTTTCTTAATTTTAAGCTCATACTTAGAGGAAGCTCTGTCAATAATGGAAAAGGAATCAAGATTTGTTGAATTTTCACATTTTTGTGATAAAGTAAGATGTTTATAAATATGGGAAGCCTTATCTGAATTTAAATTTTCTGAAATACTTGTTGTGTTGTTTCTCGTGGTTTTTCCAATATATCCAGCATTACAGCTTGAATATACAAATTTATAAACAACAAAGGATTTTTAATTTGGGGTAAGGGATCTTTTGATGAAAGCATACTGCTTATTTTAAAAGCTGTGAGAACTAGTCTTGCCTTTATGTTTTCTTTACAATATTTTTTGATATATTTTTTTAAATAATGTTGAAGTGTATTTGAAATTTTTCCAGTATAAGGGAGTTTAAAGTAGTTTATATCAGATGGTTTTGAAGATGACATGTTTTTTTAGAAAAGATAAGGTTATTTAGTAAAATTTTAAAGGCTTTTTTCATTTAAGTTCAAGAAAAAGCTTTTTTAAAAGAGAGTTGTTTTAATTTTTAATATCTAGATAAAAACTTACCCAGTTTCTGTTGATTTTGCCCTGTCAATCTGAGTTTTAATGAGTAAACCTGTATAACAGGTTTACTCATTAAAACTCATCTAATTATTACGCTTATTATACAGTTATTATCAACAAATTGTTAACCTATTCTCATCTACCTAGTTGTAGGGAAAGGGTTAAATAGGTAGGAGGTATATACCCTTATTAAATAGGTAGGAGGTATATACCCTTAAGATATAAAAAACACAAACTTTTGTGTATTAATTAAAAATTGTTATTAAAAACTTATTCCTCCTATAATTATTTCATTTCTGCATTTATTTTAAAAATCCACATGTTTTACATTATTTTTTTATTCATATTAGTTCTCCAAATTGAAATGTTAAAACCAGACTGATGTTATTATAGATTTTTAAAACATTAAAATCAAATCACTTCTCTAGAGAAACTTTTTGCAACTTTTCTTCTAGTCTTCTTTCCTTCCAACTAGTCCTTTAATATCTAATAATCTTTCTAAAAATATTTAACGAAAATCAAATTTAATTTTAGAAGGGGGGGGGGGGGGGGGGGGAAAGCAAAAAAGTTTTGAAAATACATACTAAATTCCATAATTCTTTTTTTTAACTATTTGAAAATAGAAAATACATTTTGAAAAGCAAAAAGGTTATTTTAAAAAATCATTTCATCGTTTTATGGTTTTATTGTTGTATTGGTTGCATAAACATGTTTTGATGCTTATTTACAGTCCTGTTGTTTAGTGTTAAAATTTGTATCATATATCCATAATTGAGAACTTTGATGATGTTATAGTGCAATTTTAACAAAATATACATGATTGTTAATAATCATTTATACTTTTTTTCTTACATGTTTGATTGCATTGTTTTATTTGTTGTTTTTAGGAATTGGATTTTGTCGTTACAACAATTATGACAGAAAAAAACATGAAAATGCTTGTAAAACTTCTTGTAAATACTATCAAACTCAGCATAAAATAACATGAATTATATGATAGTATTTCACATTTCTTGGAAGTTTTAAGTCATTTTTATTTTTAGTTCATTTTTAATAGCTTTAGCTTTAAGGGTGTCAAATGTTACTACCACCACTCACACAGAATTGCCCACATTTATATATATATATATATATATATATATATATATATATATATATATATATATATATATATATATATATATATATATATATATATACATATATAGGTATGTTTAGAGTGGTACAAAGAGAAAACATGAGGCAGGGTCCAGGGTTTTTTTTCTTTTTTTGTGATAGTTCAAGACATGAGTCGTATATTACTTTTAAGAAAATAATCAGTGATTGAATGTGCTGTATAGCATGGAGCACTGTCTTGTTGAAGTAACTAGTTTTGATCAGTCTGGAACAAATCACGATTAGGGATAAGCATGTTTTCAAAAATGTCACTATACTCATACTGGTTTAATTTTCTAAGTATAATTTATGACAGCCAACGCCTGAGCCTGATATACATCCCCATATGTCTACGAAACCACCAACTTTCTGAACATGGCTTAGTATATGTTGCTTCAAATATTTTTCCGTTTTTTTGCGACGAAGGAATCTCTTGTTTTTTCTGTTAACAATTTTGAAATTTGGTTCATCATCATTGTTCTACTGAATAATTTAAACGCTCTTTGCATCATTTTTTTTTGCCTTTAGCGATCGGTTAATGTCAACTAAGGTTTTTTTACACCATGAAACGAATTTAGTTCTTTCTTGCATTATAACTTATTGTTATAATGCAAGAAAGAACTTATTGTCATTCCACTAATTTTTTTGTCTACCAGCTAACTATTAATTTCTGCACTTATAGTTGATACTCCTGCTTTTGGGTTATGTCTCCTTAGCATGCAAAGCATGTTTTCATCACGTGCGGTCAGTTTTTTCGAACACCCAGTACGAGGCTTATCATTGACATTACCAGTTGATAAATTATTTTTTATTGTTGTACAAACGCTGAATTCAGAAATTATTAGGCGTCTGCTAATTTCCTATTTCTTATTTTTATTTTATGCATTCCAATGACTTGCCATTTTATTTTTGACAAAACAGCTCTTTTACCCATGAAATTATGATATTTTGACAATGTTGGATCAGTTGAAAATTGCTGAATTTTGAATCAAATCGTAGTTGTGATTTTTTATTGAAAATAAAGTAAGAATAGGGATCCAGATGAAATATCTTAACGCTAACAGGCTGATGAATGATAAAAATGCAAAAGACTTCAATATAAAATCTCTTAATAAATGAGTGTTGCAAGTTTTTTTATCAAAATATCAAAATTTATTTCAAAAAATTGAAAGGAATTTATTGCTTTGTTAATTTCCTCATCACCCTCCACCTCCTTTATAATATCCATACAGTTTTTTTCTTTTCTAAATTAATAAATTATAGCCATAGTATAAATAAACATAAAAATACAGAGTACATCTAATCAATAAATTGGGTTGTCATTTCTTAAAAGTATTATATACATTAAAAAATAAGTGCGCTTAAAGTTTCTGTACAAGGTGTGTGTATATATATATATATATATATATATATATATATATATATTATTATTGCTATTATTATTGTTATTATTATTATTATTATTATTATTCATACCGATATTGGTATAACTACCTGCTTGCATAACTGCAAAAATGTCTCTTGGAAAAAAACTTTTTGAGAATTAGAAAATTCCTAAAATAGCTCAAAAAAAATTTTTTTTTTTTTTCCAAGCATTTTTTTTTGCAATTTCTCAAAATTTGCAAATAATTTTTTGCAATGCATTCCAACAACAGCAAATATTATTTAAAAAAAGTTAGCAAGTGATAAAGTACAACTTAAAAAATTATAAATTTGTTTGGTTTAACACTCACAAATGCTATTTCTTTAAAAGTTTTTTTTTTGTAATTCTTTTGAAATTAAACAACATATGTTGTTATTTTTGCTGATACTTTGTAATTTTAACTTTATTTTGCTATGCGATTTATGTATAAAGAAAGAATTACTTTAAAAATTGCCCTTTAATGCCCACCAGTGAAAAAAATATATGCATTCAAAAGAATACTCTTAACAAGAAAGCGGCAGCAATATTTTAAGATTAAAAGTAAATCAAATATATTATTCTTAATAATAGTTAAATAAAACACACTGATTATTTTATAATATAAAAATATGTAATTCTGAATATATCTTTGGAAATCAGTGCTTAACTTGCCTTGTCATTGTGAAACCACATTTAATTTTGTGTTAATTTCATATTCATCTTCAATAAATATTACAGACGGTATTTTGTCTATTTTTGGCACTGTCCAAACTGTCAAAAATTGTATGCAGCGCTTAGGTGGAGTAGAAGAAGAAGGAATTTAGGAAAAGTACTCCATACAATTTTGGTACACATTTTAATATCAAGGAAGGGGGGTATAATTGGGAATTGTTTTGACAAATTCTCAATTTCGTCAAAACGCTGTATCAAATTTATTCCTAGTTAACACCCTCATATATATATATATATATATATATATATATATATATATATATATATATATATATATATATATATATATATATATATACACACACACACACATCACACTGAAATAGCTTGCCACCAGAGGCTTCAGCATTTTTTGATGTTTGTAATTATATGTTACATACAACCATAAAAATAAATTAAAAATTTACATGCATTGCATAGCAGGGAATTTAATGATTTGCTTATGAATGGTTAAAATTATAAATTGTTTTAAAATGTTAAAAATTCTTTGTGTTTAAAAAGATTTTTTATTTTTATTAGGTGGTGGAGCTCACAAATATAAAGAATTAATAAAAACTAAACTAAATGTTGAGTAAGTTTTTTATGTTTTGAAGATGTTTTAATCAATATTGATAAAAGTAGAATTTATTGCAACAATTATTAATTTTGGTATTGCTATTATTGTTATAATTTCAATTATTGTGATTGTTTGTCATTTCTTGACAAACAATTACAATAATTTAAATTATAACAATAATTTTTTTCACACACACACACACACACACACACACACACACACACACACACACACACACACACACACACACACACACACACACACACACACATATTCTTAGGATAGATTTCTTGTTGTTTCCCGTTTATGTGTTATGTGAGTTCACTTTTCTAAAACCTTGAAAGATTCAAGTTTTAAAGCACACCATTTTGAAAATTAGCACCGTGAATTCAATACTCATGTATTTGACATCATTCCTTAATTTATTACAAGGTTGTCCATCCATTTGAAACAAATAAGACATCCATTTAAAATTAAAATAAATTCTATTAAATTTAAATAAATTAATATAATATTAATAAAACTAAAACTAAATAAATAAAACTTTTTTTTTTTTTTTTTGAATAATTTAGAATGCTGAGATTAGGCATTAAATGTTTTATTTTTTTTCGTTAAATGTTTCAATAGGAAATCACAATTGTTTTAATAGATTATCATGAATATTTTAAATAAACATCACTATTCTTGGACCCCTACTGTTTCTAATCTATGTGAATGACATATACCGTTCCTCAGATATGCTTAACTTTATCCTTTTCGCAGATGATACTACTATTTTTTACTCCGACTCCAATATTAAAACAATTTTTACCATAGTAAATCGTGAGCTGACAAACCTGGAGGATTGGTTCAAAGCAAACAAACTCTCTTTAAATATTAGTAAAACTAAATGTTTATTTCATAAGCCATCTAAGTCAGATAGTTTGCCTCTTCAACTTCCTCAGTTAGTCATAAACAGAATTATTGTAAAAAGAGTCGTGTCAATGAAAATCCTGGGAGTAATATTTGATAAACATCTTAATTGGAAAAGTCATATTACGCTCGTTGAAAACAAAATTTCTAAAACAATAGGCATTATGTATAAAACAAAACACCTACTAAGTAAAAAATGCTTAAAAGATATATACTACTCTTTTATTCATAGTTACATTAGCTGCTGTAACATTACTTGGGCCAGTACTTGTTCATCAGCATTAAAGAAAATATATATAAAACAAAAACAAGCCAGTAGAGTTATATGTAATATGTATAAATTTGCCCACGCCAAACCGTTACTCCGTGAAATCAAAGCTTTAATTATTGAGTTAAATTTGTACCAAAACCTATTATTTATGTTTAAATATCAAAACGACATGCTTCCTAAATTCTTTAACAATCATTTTTCAATTATTTCTCATAAATACTTAACGAGGTGCTCTATTCACAATTTTAACTTACCTAAGTCAACATTAAAAAAACAGATTACTCAATTTCATTTAGAGGACCTCGTCTATAGAACAGAATTCTTGACGACAAAATGAAAAGTATAACCTTAATACAATCTTTTATAAATGTAGTTAAACAGAATTTGATTATTTATTTTTTTGTTGAAAAAACTTGTAAAGCTAATCTTTTAAATTTCTTTACTTTATTTATTCAATTTAGCAAATTTTATTTTATTATTGTTATTTCAACTTGCTTTATATAGTGAATGTAAATTATTATATTTTATATATTATGGATACTTTGTAAAAAATATATCACTCAAATTTTAGGGGCTTGACGACAAGACTTATGTCTTCTATTTGCTCCTGTCATTCTTCATATTTTGATTTATTTTATTAAACTTGGAAACAAGAACATTGTAAAATGCTTATATATGACAAAATAAATAAATAAATAAATAATAATAATTGTTTAAATGAATATTATGTTTTAAATGGATGTTATATGTATTTTAAATGGAGACAAACCCAATATATGATTAATGATTTATAGAAAAATTTGGCTATTTGCAAGTTTGGTTATTTTTTTAAAGCCTTTTTTTTTCAAGCGTTGCAGAAAAACTAATCTTCAAAAACAAAGAAAGCAAAACTAACAAAATTGAAAATTTATATAAATTTAAAAAAATTTTAAAAAAGTAATATATTTTATAATTTTTGTACTTTATTTATTCTTTAGAATGGTTGTTATTTTCAGTAATGAAATTGGATAAGTAAAGCAAAAAAAAAAAAAAGCAACAGTTTTAATTTTTTTTAAAGAGGAAAGCAAAAATATAAATTGCTATCTCTTTGTAAAATATATTCGTATAATTTTAATGTAACAAATATATATTATCCCTATATGAAAATGTTTATGTTTTTTTTTTTTTTTTTTTTTTTTTTTTTTTTTTTTTAACATCTTCACTTCCAACAAAGCTGCAAGCAACCACTATAAGAGTTGAAAGATACTGGAAGAGAAAAGACTAAATCTGTAGAGCAAGATGACGATTGACTGATGACTTAAAAGATTGCAAATTATATGAATCAGGAAAGCAAGATGAAGGAAGCGAATTCCAAAGAACTGATGTTCGAGGAAAAAAACAAGAAAGAATAAGAGTTTTTGAAGCACTTAGGAACAGTCACAGAAAAAGGATGAGACTTAATTGAATGGCGAGTAACACGAGAATGAATTTTAGTAGATGGCACAAGGGACGCTAGCTCTTTAGAGCAGAGCCCATTATAGTATTTGTAGAAAAGAGAAAGAGAAGCAACATTACGACGATGTGACAAAGGTTGGAGATTGGCTGCCAGAGCAGGTCCAACTGTTTACAATTCGTTTTTGCACCTTGTCTAAAAGAGAAAGAGCATCATTAGAAGATCCGCCCCAGATGTGGCAACAGTATTCCATACAGGGACGGATTTGAGATTTATAGAGATAGAGAATAGAATCTGGAGTAAGAAAGTGTCGAGCTCGATAAAGAGATGCAACCTTAGCAGATGCTAATTTTGCAATGGATTTGATATACGGTTTAAAAGAAAGATTAGAAGTAAGAGTTAATCCTAGAAGATGAATGGTAGATGACTCATCTAGTACATTACCATTCATAAATATAGGAAGATCTAAATTATTACGATAACGATTAGCCGAATAAAATTGAGTTTTATCTGAATTAAAGTTCACCAGCCACTGTGAGCCCCATGCTGTAGCAGAAGTGAGATCCTTTTCAAGCTCAGATACCCCCTCCAAGCAATCAGAGAGTGTAGGCTTCTTATCATGACAAGAGTAAATGGTAGTGTCGTCAGCGAATAATGCCACCTTAGATGTGAGAATATCTGGAAGATTGTTAATGTAAATTAAAAAGAGTATAGGGCCAAGGATTGAACCTTGAGGAACCCCTGAAGTTACAGGATGTGAAGAAGAGTGTTGTCCATCGAGGACAACTTTTATACTACGATTGGAAAGAAAGGACTCAATAATCTTAAAGATGTTACCAGCTACACCATAAGAAGAAAGCTTATGGAGAAGACCAGCATGCCAAACTTTATCAAAAGCTTTAGAAATGTCAAGTGCGATAGCCTTAACCTCTCCACCTCTATCTAATGCATGGTAAAACCTATCGGTTATTACTGTTAGCACATCAGCTGTAGAACGAGAAGACCGAAATCCATATTGATGATCAGAAAGTAAGTTATTTGATTCAAGATGAGAGATTAAGTGTTTGTTGATTAAAGATTCAAAAACCTTGCTTATGACAGGAAGAAGACTAATAGGACGGTAGTTAGATGAATCAGATCGCTCTCCAGAATTTTTGAAAATAGGGATAACAGATGCTGCTTTCCAGCATGATGGAAAACAAGACTCTGATAAGCATTTGTTAAATAGTTTTGAAAGTATGGATGAAAGCTCCGGAGAACACCTCTGCAAGACTACAACAGGAATGTTGTCAGGACCACAAGCTGTTGAAGAGTCTAAGCAGGAAATTACTTTTGATACAGAAGCTGAAGTGATGCGAATGTCAAGCAAGGGATCAACCTGTTTGACGGCTATGTCAGGTAAAACGCAACTAGTGGAATCAAGAGATGATATTGATGAAAAGTTCTTAGCAAACAATTCAGCTTTGTCTTTAGGTGAGGTGACAAAGTCTGAACCATACAAGAGAGAAGGAATAATAGATTTGCCCTTATTATTGATACTGTTAAAGATTCTCCAGAAGTCTCGAGAGCCTAATTTTTGTGATGAGATACGAGATTTAATGACCTGGGAATAGCGAGCTTTGGCGTCAGACAAAACCTTTTTACAATGGTTTCTGGCGATAGTGAACAGATGTCTGTTTTCTGGAGAATTGTTTTGCTGATAGATATGGAAGTAACGGTTTCGATTAGAAATTGCTGCAGCGCAATGTGAGGAAAACCAAGGAGAAGAGTGAGGTTTGACCTGGAATCGTCGAGAGGGAATAAAAGATTCCATGCCAGCCTGAATCCACGAAGTTATGTAAGAAGCACATTTGTCAGCAGGAAGACGAAAGATTTCTACCCAAGGGCCATCACGAAGAAAATCACGGAAAGAGTCCCAGTCAGCTTTAAGGTAGTTGTATGTGGTACGATGATAGGGGGATTCTGATGAAGTAGAAGAGTTTGATAATAGTTTTAGAGAGATCAAACCGTGATCAGAAGTACCTAAGGTTGAATGTGGAGAAATTGAGCACTGACTAGGATCCAAAACAAGACATAAGTCGAGTAGAGAAGGTAAATGATTAGGGTTGTCTGGAAAACGAGTTGGAAAGTTGACTATTTGAGTTAGAGATTGAGAAAGGCAAAAGTTGAGGGCCTTAACGCCAGCAGAGTCACTGACACTAGAGCCAAGCCAATTGGTGTGATGGGCATTAAAGTCACCAACAACGACGATATTGGCCGATGGATAAAGAGAGAGGGCTTGGTCAATTTGATCAGAAATAGCATCAAGAATAGTGCAATCTTGGGATGAAGGAGAGCGATATAGAACAAAGAGAAAGGCGATAGAGTGAAGTTGTGCTAAACGAAAGCACATAAATGAATAGTCTGTAGATTCAAACCTAGTTTCACGACAAATGGGTGAGTTCTTACGAATGTAGATGCCCAGGCCAAGCATGTGATTTTTGGAGTCTTTACGAATTAAAGGAAGATAACCATCAACACTAAGATCACAAGATGGGACAGCCGAACTCAAATTAGTCTCACAAAGAGCAAGTAGGTCTGGTGAACTTTGCAAGAGATAAGACTCAACAGAAGAAAAGTTACTTCGAAGACCACGAATATTAGTAAATGATAGGTTTAGAGAACTTGGTGATGACGATGGTTTTTTGTGTTTTTTAGTTTTAGGTACTTTAGTCATTTTGAATTTATAAAGAACTTGACTCAAGTATAGATAGTACTCAGTACACTATTTAACAACTAAGCAATAGCCTTATTACTATTAATAAACCCTAAGCCGTAACAAAGGGCTCCAAATGTGGCCTCTGCAATGCACACCAAAAGTACAAACAGGGACACCATCCATGCGCAACATGGCACTGTTAGTACTCTGATATTTTTTGGCTGTTGATGGAATCAGCCTCTCTGAGAGCTACCACAGAGTTCGGGAAACCTGACTACCAGTTGGCCTCAGAACCATAAAACTGAGTTTTAGAGCTGTACCCTCATTAGGAGATAATAGAATGAGTTGCCCAGTCGTAAAAATAGAGACACAAGCAATACCCACGCATTGAGTCAAGTAGATCCAGCGTTCAACATCCTAAACTGGAAACAATGTATTAAAAATACATCTGCGCCAGCCTAATAGATGAGGAAGGGGTGCAAGGCTGGTCAACAGATAGAATCTGTTTACCCCTTAATGTAATGTAATGTAATGCATCAGTATACTTTTATTTAAATATACACATGTTTAGCTTATTTGGATGAGGCGTTTACTTCATACACAGAATGTCTGTGGTTCAAATTCCACCTCTTTCCAAATTTTTTGTTTTTTTTTTTACCAGAAAAAAATTTTTTGTAAGTTTTGCTTTCTTTGTTTTTGAAACTTAGTTTTTTCTTAACACTTTATATATAAAAACTTGTCAACAGCTGTGACCAAGTTGTCTAAAATGAAATACTCATGCATGGATGTACAAGACAAAAAACAGCATATGTTTCCTGGGAAAGCTTGAGACCTTGTTTGTTTGTTTTTTATCAGAAAAACCAGCAGCAAGTTAATTTTTTTTTATACCTATTTTATCCTAGCCTTAGTCGTGTGATCAATTGCCATTTTTTGCGTGGTCACATTTAATAACAAAATTTTTATGACCCAAATAGCGGGTCACAGGGGCTGAAAGGGTTAAGTGTTAAATTTCTTTTAGTAGTTTATAATGTACGTAAATCAGAAAATTTTAAACAACAAACTTATTTTCCAATACAGATATTTAACTTTTTAAATTTTTAAAAAATTTTCTAGTTAGAGGTCAACAATGTATTATTACGTTCAAAAAATATTGTTGCATTTTAAGAAGTATTTAAGTAAATATAAATTATGTTGAAAATTGTATTGGTTTTTATAAAATAGAGTGACAGGACATTATTATGATTATATTTGTTCACAAATAACTTAATAATCAGCTGTTATTTACATTTTGTAGGGTTGAAAAGCTTGATGAAATGCAATGTTTAATCAGCGGTTGTAACTTTTTACTCTCAAATGTTCCGAATGAATGTTTTCAATTTCATCAAAAAGATGGCAGCGCTGAGCCTGAATATTTATTTAAAAATCTTGTGGGAGAAGATGTTTTTCCTTATCTACTTGTCAACATTGGGTCTGGGGTTTCAATTATAAAGGTTAGTTTTATTTTTTTTAATTTTTTTAGTTTCTAGATTTTAGGAGTTTTTACATAAAAATAATTTTTATTTGCTTTTTTTTTTCTCTCTTTCTGTTGTGGTATTTGTATTTTGGTATGTGGTTTTAGTTATTAAATGGTCTTTATATGGTGTTGATTATTAAGTTGTAAATATTTTTTTTTATAATTTCAAAAAGCTACTAACATATTAAATAAAAGTTGTTATTATGGATTAAGCTCTTTACTTTTTAACTGTATTTTAAGGAAATATTGTTACACTTTATTATTATCAAATTGGATAGGATTCAGTGTAATAGTTTCTTTTAACATTAATTTTTTCATGTAACTATGGTTATCCTGGTTTATTTTAATGTATGCAATAGTAGCACTTTTTTTTTCTTATTTTTCATTCTGATTCACTCCTAACAAGGCTGCAAACAACCACTTTTAAGTTGAAAGTTATTAGAAAAAAAGAATTGGGTTATAGAGCAAGGAAACAATTGACAAGATTTGAAAAATTAAAGGTTGTATGAGTCAGGAAAACATGGCGATGGGAGAGAGCTCCAAAGGGTTGAATTGTGGGGAAAAAAACTGGATGAATCAAGGTTTTTAGAGTATGCAGGGACATATACAGTAAACAAATGAGACTTTTTTTTTTTTAATTTTATTCAATACTATTATGGTAATTTTTTGAATGTTTTGCCATATCTGAATATGTCTGTGTACTTTTATGTTTTTTTTTCTGATTTTTTTCTGATGTTGATGAAAACAAGAAGAGATTTCCAATTTTGTTTTATGTATATAACATTTTTTGCAAAAAGATTCCAATTTATACACACTTGAATATAAGTTTATAAAAAGACAAGGTATTTTTTTTATAGTAAGTATGTTAGAAATTATTGGGTAATTTTGTACTTTAGAATTCACTTAACCCATAATAACTTTTATTTAAAGTATTATTAATTAATTTAAAGCTTTGGCAAAACTTACTTTAGGTTGAATCAAATGAAACTTTTGAAAGAATTGGTGGAACTAGCACTGGTGGAGGGACATTTTGGGGGCTTGGTTCTCTTCTTACAGATGCTAAGGTAGTTTAAAAACAACGTCATTATTTTTGTGTGTTTGTGTTTTCGTGTGATATTAATTTGTCTGAAGTTATCTGCAACTGTTTGTGTAAAAAAATGTTTTGGCAACAATATTATTACAATTTTGAAGTTTTTAAATTTGATTTTAGTTCAATCCTTTTTATTTTGTTTTGTTTTTGTTATGTAGGGTTTTGATGAGCTTTTATCTATGGCTGCTGAGGGGAAGACAAAAAATATCAATATGTTGGTATATATATCTTAAATTTTTTATTTAAAAAATTTATTTTAAGTTAATTAAAAAATATTGTGTTTAGTAAATTTTTTTATTTTTTTTTTATTTTTAATGAATTTTCTTGCAGCAAGAAATTTCCAATACATTTTCATAATATTTGTTTAGCCTGAGATTTGATGTCTTAAAAGTAAAAGTAAATTACCCTCATCCACCAAGAAAAAATATATTACCCTCCTCCACATATAAATTACCCTCCTCCACATTCTATTTTTGTTAAATTCTTATGTCAAGGTGCAAAAGATAAAATGCTTTTTTCCAGTGATCATACTATTTATCACAAATGGAATGTATATATTTTACACTATTTTAACACCACAGAAAGTGTTTATTTTAAATAAAGATTATTAAATTTATAATTAAATTTTCTTGTTTCAAGCAAAACACTTTTTTAGCTTATTTTAAGCGGTTAAATACTACTTGCAATCCTCTAAAATCTAAGATTATTTCTAATTATTATTTATAGTATTAGTTATGAAATGAATGACTAATTAGAGTACTATGGCCCTGCTTTAAAGTAGAGAGAAACTGTATAAAAAACTCATGTTCATCAAAACACAATAAATTAGCTTAAATAATAAAAAAGAAAATAAATATTTCCTAAATAAGTTAACTTTGTCTGCTATCTCACTTTTTTTTCCGGAAAACTATTGGTAAAAAATAATTTAAAATTGACTTGAATAATTCATTTATGATTGTTTTATATATTTTCTATTTCGCAACTTATATAATGAATCATGATAAATGCACTTTTTTGTCAACAATGTTGTTGCAATCCATATAGGCGGTATTGATGGATTATTTACCATTGAACAGTTAGATAAAGATATGTCAAAGCACTTTAAAGCAAATTAAAAACTGCATATAAATAATTAAGCTTTAATGCAAATTAAAAACTGGAAATAAATAATTATGAATGGAATGAGCTAAAACTAATCAAAAATAGGCTAATGAGAAGTTTAAATAAACGTAAAAAAATTATGTACATATCACAGGTTTAATAATGGTATTGGATGGGAAGCGTCTAAAATGACATGCTAATCATGATCAATTAAAACTAGCAAAACACTAACTACACGATCAGTTTTCATAACAAATGGACTTCAATATTTACCATGAACAAAATCTTCCAATTGTTACATAAAGTGTCATAACCATTAAAACAAAGTGCGAAACTATAACATACAGCATTCCTAATCTACCAGAACTATATACCAAAAGAGATCATTGTTCATGAAAATGTTTTAAACTCAAGTAGTGAATCGTCTAATGTTGTCTCAATATTTGTATGCAGGCTTATTACGATTTCAAATAAGTAAAACACTAGAACATATGTTCTGAAATATGAAAATATGAAATTAAGAAAAACCTAAAATATCAACAATCTTTAAACGCTGTCTCGAAAAGAAATATTTGCAATAGTAGCTACCACACAGTCAAACAACTTTATATCCATATTGCATTAAATATTGCATGATATTGTTGACAAAAAGGAGTTTCAATTGAGTTTGATATATTTATATTGTATTATATATTGTACAAGGAAAGCGATTCTTTAAGCCAAACTGTAATTTTATCATAGACCGTCATTTTTTTTCTTTCAAAGGAAACTTATATGCTTTTGGTTGCTCTAGATACAAAGTGGATCAAGCCATAGTGTTTTGTTGCAAGATTGTGACAAATTGCAAAGGTTGCATGTAGTGTGACAAAAGCAAAGTTAGATGTGGAGATAACAAAATGTATCACATGCTAATTTACAACAAAGTTTAGTCACACAATATCTTTTAATCTTGTTAATTTTAGTCATACATTCCAGTTACAGTGCATGTAATGAATAAAATAGCCAGCGCGATATTTCACACTTGTAAAACTGAAACGCGTCATCATGTCTTCAAGAGCAATATTTAGAGTTGGTGGCCAAAGGGCCATCCATAAATTATTTACGCAGGTCTGGGAGGAGGTCACTTAAAAGCATACTAGTTCGTACAAGGGAAAGGGTAAACAATTTTTTGTTTGAATTTTTTTCATTTAATGTCCAGAAATCAGACGAGAAAGCATTGGTTTTTTAGTTAATGCATTTGTCTATCTACCAGAAAAAATGTGTTACTGTAGCATTCATGTTAAATAAAAACAATGAAATATTGCCATTTACTAAAAATTGACATAACTTTGTTTCTTTTTGGAAACATGCTTGATTGCAAATATTCGAAAAAACAGAAACGTTTTTTAAATTTAAAAAATAAGTAATAGTTAAGTAATATAAATAGTATAAATAAATAATACAAAAATAAAAGATATATAGGACTATTTCTTTTATTTACAAAATATGTGTGAAATTATTACAAAATTTTGTGGATTAAAACTTTTGATTTTTAAAAATTCTATCAGTTTTAAATTTTTTAATTGAAATTTTCTATTCTCAATGGGACAAAACATTTTGAAAATAGTAAACATTCCATTCTATTTTTTAGCAGTAATGACCTCATAACTTTCCATTCATTGTTTGTACAAAACAGAAAACTGCTTTCTAATCTAACCTGAATGCTCAATTTAATTATCAGATAAATAATTTTTGGTATACTTGATTATATACTTAATAAATATATAATAGACTTAAATAATATGCTTATACTAATACAATATATATTATTGTAAGTATATACAAACATATACAAATATAGTATATAAATAATACAATTATATAAATTACTTATACAAATATATAGTATATAAATAACTTATATACTGACTTATATTTTGAGAAATGCATTTGTGAAACTAGTGACATTAAATTTTTTCTTTTGTTGTTTGAAAGCGCGCTTCCAAAAGTTTCAATAAACAATGTGTATAACAAATATATTTGTTATACATATTGTTTATTGAAACTTTTTTTTTTTAATTTTTAGTTTCGTTTAGCTTTTCAACTTTTTTAATGAATAGACTTTAATATAAGTTTAATCGATTCGATGATATCAATAAAAAATATTTAGTTTATTAAATTATATTTGACAAAAAATATTTGATATTGCAGCATTTTAAATTTTATATGATGTTTTTAAATTTTAAATATAATAGTCATTAATTAATAGAATAAAATCAAAATCAAAGCTAGAAGTAAAGTTTTGACAAATTATAACGCTAGATATTTATAATAAATTTATAAATATTATGCTAGATATTTACTTTTTATTCAATTCATTCTACCACTTATATACTTTTATATAATGTTGTAAAGGATTTATTGTATATTTAAGTATATGTAAATATTATGAAAAAATCAGATTTTTTTTTTTTAATTAATTTTTCTAGGAAGTAAGATCGCACATAATTTTTAGTCTACACTTTTATAAACATATTTCCAGTGAATATTTTTTTAAAATCTTTTGATTTCGGTTTTTATAACGGTCTAAGTCGGAACAGTTTTTTTTCACTGCTTTTTTTATGAGATGCTAATGCAACCACACACAATTTTTTTTAATTGAAAATTAGCCCCACATCATCTGGTGTAATAAAATTAGCTTTGCTATGTTGGCTTCAAGAGTGAATGGCTTCTTAAAGTTCATACTTTTTGTATTGTTTAAAGACAATAAACAACATTTAATTTTTTATTTTTCTAATAAAAATTGTGGCTATATGTTGTCATAAATAAGATGAAAAAATCTTTTAAAACGAAAAATATTCTAGTTATATCTACTTTAAGTATGACATAATGCAAAAATTAGCAAACTGACTGAATTTTTTTTTTTTTTTATTTGCATTCACTCCCAACAAGGCTGCAAGCAACCACTATTAAGTTGGGAGTTACTAGTAAAAAAAAAAACAGAGTTATAGAGCAAGGAAACGGTTGACAGAAGACTTGAAAAGTTGAAGGTTGTATGAGTCAGGAAAACATGAAGATGGGAGAGAGTTCCAAAGGATTGAAGTGCGGGGAAAAAAACTAGATGAATAAAAGTTTTTAGAGCATGCAGGGACAGATACAGTAACAAATGAGACTTAGCTGAATGACGAGTAAAACGAGAATGAATTTTAGTTGATGGAACTAAAGATGATAACTCCTTTGAGCAGTGACCATGATAGTATTTGTAGAAAAGAGAAAGAGATGCAACTTTATGACGATGGGAAAGAGGTTCAAGCTTAGCAGATAGTCCAGGTCTAACAACATTTACAATGTGTTTTTGGACCTTGTCAAGAAGAGAAAGTGAATCGCTAGAAGAACCAGCCCAAATATGACAACATTATTCCATACAGGGACGAATAAGAGATTTGTAGAGGTAGAGAATGGAATCAGAAGTAAGGAAATGGCGAGCACGATAAAAAGAAGCAACCTTAGCAGAAGCTAATTTAGCAATCGGTTGTATATATGGTTTCCATGAAAGGTCAGTAGTAAGCGATAATCTAAGAAGGCGTAAAGAGGAGGACTCAATAAGAGGATTGCCATTCATTAATATAAGAATGTTGACCATATTACGGTAGTTATTTGCAGTAAGCAACTGGGTTTTTTTAGAGTTGAAATTCACAAGCCACTGTGAACCCCAATCTATTACTGAATTGAGATCGGATTCAAGATCAGCTGCTTGTTCTAAGCGATCAAAAAGAGAAGACTTTTTGTCAAGACAGGAGTATAAAGTTGAGTCATCAGCAAAAAGAGCTACTTTAGATGAAAGGTTGTCAGGAAGATCGTTTATGTAGATAAGAAACAAAACAGGGCCTAGGATGGAACCTTGGGGAACCCCAGAAGTTACTGGAAATAAAGAAGAGTGTTGGCCTTCAAGGATGACTTTAATAAACCGGTTAGAAAGAAATGATTTGATAATCTCAAAAACTTTCTCAGAAACACCATATGAAGCAAGCTTATGGAGAAGACCAGCATGCCAAACTTTGTCGAAAGCTTTAGATATGTCGAGAGCAATAGCCCTAGCCTCACCACCTCCATCTAATGCACAATAAAATCTTTCAGTTACAGCTGTTAGCAAGTCGGCCGTAGAGCGAGAGGATCGAAAACCGTATTGATTGTCTGACAGTAGTTTATTTGACTCAAGATGAGATGTGAGGAATTTGTTGATCAAAGACTCAAAGACCTTGCTAATAATAGAAAAAAGACTGATCGGGCAATAATTGGAGGGGTTTTTATTTAGAGGGGTTTTAATTAGAAGAAAAGTTCTTTGCAAATAGTTCTGCCTTATCCTTGGGAGAGGTAATAAGATCAGTCCCATGAATGAGAGATGGAATGTTAGATCTACCTTTGTTAATAATGCTGTTGAAGATTTTCCTAAAGTCTTTAGAGCCTAACTTCTGCGATAAGATGCGAGATTTAGTGAACTGAGAATAATGGAGTTTAGCATCAGAAAGCACCTTTTTACATCGATTTCTTGCAATAATAAAAAGCCGTTTGTTCTCAAGAAAGTTATTCTTTTTTAAAAGATGAAAAAAATGATTACGATTGGATATACCAGCTGCACAAGAAGGAGAAAACCATGGAGTAGAATGAGGCTTGACTTGAAACCGACGCGAAGGAATAAAAGCTTTCATTCCAGCCTGAATCCAGGAGGTTATGTAGAAGGCGCATTTGTCAGCTAAGAGAGAAAAAATATCAGCCCAAGGACCATCACAAAGAAAATCACGAAAGGAATCCCAGTCAGCTTTAGGGTAGTAGTAGGTGGTGCGATGATAAGGTGAGCCCAAAAAAGAAGTATGAGAAGAAAGATTTATAGAGATCATTGCATGGTCAGAACCATCTAAGGGAGAAAAGGGAGAAACTGAACATAAGCTAGGGCCAGAGACAAGACATAAGTCAAGGAGTGTAGGTAAATGATTAGGGTTGTCAGGAAAACAAGTCACAAAGTTAACTATCTGAGTAAGAGATTGAGAAACGCAGAAGTTAAAGGCTTAAGTGCCAGCAGGATCAGTGGTGTTAGAGCCAAGGCATTCAGTGTGATGGGCGTTAAAATCACCAACAACAACAATATTGGTAGAGGGGTAAAGAGAGAGGGCATGGTCAATTTGATCAGAGATAATATCTAAAAGAGTGCAATCATGGGAAGAAGGAGAACGATAAAGAACAAAGAGAAAGGTGATAGAGTGAAGAGGTGCTAGGCAAAAGCACATAAAAGAATGGTCAAAGGATTTGAACCTGATTTCACGACAAATAGGGGAATTAATGCGTATGTATACCCCTAAACCTAGCATGTGACTATTTGAGTCTTTATGAATCAAAGGATAGTAGCCATCAACACTGACATCTAAAGAAGGAATTGCAGAATTTAAATTTGTTTCGCTGAGTGCAAGCAAGTCTGGTGAATTTTGCAGGAGGTAAGACTCTACTGATGGAAAGTTGCTTTGTAGACCGCGAATATTTGTAAAAGATATATTAAAATATTTAGGTGGTGGGGATGGTTTTTTAGGTTTTAAATTTTTGGTTACTTTGGTCATGATTTGGGTTTAATGAGAACTTGACTCATTCATAGATAGAGCACAGCCTCCTAATCAATGAGCTATGCAGTTGTCTCAGTCCTGTTAATTAACCCTAAGCTGTGACATAGTGCTCCTTATGTGGCCTTGACAATGCACACCAAAAACATTACCAGGGACACTATCCATGCGCAACATGGCACTGTTAATACTCTGATATTTTGCAGCTGTTGATGGAATCAGCCTCTCTGAGAGCTACTGCAGAGTTCGGAAAACCTTACTACCAGCTGGCCTCAGAACCATTAAACTGAGTTTTAGAGCTGTACCCTCATATGGAGATAACAGAAAGAGTTGCATAGCCATTATCAAGGAGGCATAAGCAAAATTCTATGAGTAGAGTCAAGGAGATCCAGCATTCATCATCCTAGGCAGGAAACAATGTAACACAGGTTACATCTACGCAAGCCTAATAGATGAAGAAGGGGTTCAAGGCTGGTTAGCAGAATTTTTCTGCTTACCCCTAAAGTCTTTGCCTAGAAGGCCTTCTACAAGACAGTAGCTGGATGCAGTTAACATCTGCCCAAGATGAGTATTTTTATCGAGACACCATCTCTAGCCTTTACTCAACCAAGAGCTTCAAGGCAGGGGATGTTTAGCTGGATGCAGTTAACATCTGCCCAAGATGAGTGTTTTTATCGAGACACCATCTCTAGCCTTTACTCAACCAAGAGCCCCAAGGCAGGGGAATTTTTAGTCGGAGTTTATTTCTCCTAGCCTTTGCCTAAGAAGAGCACACTCTGCAAGGCAGCAGGGCTTGTGGCAGGTGGTACTGGGTTATGTGATACCAGTAGCAAGATTGATCTCGATTATCCTGACCTGACCTGGAGTAGTTAAAAGGAATTACTTCCTGCAACAGTACTTTGAGAAAACCAGGCATGACATTTTGGAAGTGCATTAAGAAAAACACTACATCTAACAAAATACAGGAGTCTAAGGTGAGTGTAGGTTTTGTAGTTGGAGTAAGTAGTTAGTTACTGAGCTCACGCTGCATTAAAGTATAAACAGAACATAAACAAACATAAATCAACTTACGGGTGAGTCAACACTGCGCCAGAGGTTCAGACAGAACACAAACATACATAAAAAACATAAATTCATCCGATTTTCCAAGTACCGCCGAACACTAATTATTTAGACCAAAATATTTTGTATTTATTATTGCATTTATTATACAAAGCAATGTAGTTGGTGAGATTTAGTTTTAATTTCTTCATAATTGTCTGATTCTTATAGACAATGGCGCTTAATTTAATAACTATAAAATATTTTTTCTAATAAATAAAAAAAACTTTTTCTAATAAATAAAGAAAAGTTAATTTTGACTTTTTTTATAGTTTTTTTTTTTTAATATATTTATTTTAACAACTTTTTACTGTAATAAAACTGTAATTTTTTTAATACATCAGGCTGAATACCTGATATGTAAATAATAATAGTATTTAGTCAACTTGTTTTTCCCCACAGCGGCTTTGTTCATCAAGGTTCATGTCTCAGAATTATGGAGTTGTAAGAGGGTTTGTAACCACAACTAAAGTAGCCTCTTTGACTGTAGCGGCCTTCGTGGCCTTGGGGAGGTGAATTGAAATAAAAATAAATTACAAACAATTTACTTTTTCTTTATTATTTTCTTATATTTATATCCTTATATATACTATACTAATATATAGTATTTATATAACAATAATAATACTTTACAAAATATACTTATTTTTTTAAGAATAATTGAAATTTTATCAGGTAAAGGATATCTATGGTGGCGCATATAGTGAAATGAATTTACCAGGTGATCTTACAGCTAGTAGCTTTGGTAAAGCAGCACGTGCATCAAGAGACCAGTCAACATCATTGCTCACTTCTGGTTTCTAGTTTTTTGCTTTTATTTTGTTTTACATTAAGTTTTATTCAAAAATTAATATATTTTTAAACATATGGTGCTTAAGTGGTTCTACTTTGAAAAATTTAAAAAAATAGTTGCTTCTGTCTTAAAGAGATCAAAAAAAAGTTAGTACCAAATGTTTTGTTCTTCAAAATTAGAGTAAAAAGAAGTTTTTTAACCTCTTATCGATTTTCTAAGGCGGTTGATTAACCAATTGAATTGTAAGACAAATTTTTGAAAATGTTTTCTACTAGTTATGTTTCAGTTATGGTTAAAGGAGCTTTTAAAAAAAGAGTTTTTAAACTTATTTTTTTATTTTTATTATTTTGCATATTTTTTTTTTTAATACTCCAATGGAAATTATTGTTTTTACATTTATCTAAGGATTATTTAAAAGTAAATTAAAAGTTTTATTATCTAAGTAAACATTGTTTGAAAGCAGAAGACAGTGATGTGAAATAGAATCGAAGGCTGCTTTTTCAGTTTAACATATATTTGTTTAGAACTTTTTAAATCAATAAATTAAAAAAAAACTTTTATGTTACTATTTACTTTTAAAAAGTACAAAGAAAAAAAAAGAAAATTAACTTTTAAAAAGTTCACAGAAAAGAAAAAAAGCTTTCAAAAGAAACTTGAGATTTAATTAGTTTAATGAAAGTTTTTTTGATTTTCAGGAGATTTTTTGATTTGTTTGCAAGATTTTTATACTTTGATACAAATATCCATGTTATATGGTTAGGTGGCTGTTTTGAAATGTTTTTTCTTACTTGTAAATTTTAAATGACAGAGGTTGTATGTGCATACTAAGCAGCATTTTGTGCATTTTTATTTATATTTTGAATAGATTTTATATTATTGAATAGGCTATATATTATGTGATACATAAAACATCTACAAACTCTACTGCCCTAGTAGTAGAGTCAACAAGATCAAGTTAAAAAGCTGAAACTTAATGCATTCTCTCAGATAAAGTTACTCAACAATGTATGTTGCAATTAGCAAGTCGTTTGTACTATCTCCAAAAACTTCACATAGATCTTAGTTAAATTGACTTAAATTCACTTGAATTAATTGTAATATTATCATTATTTTGAATGGTTTGTGTTAATATCATCATTATTTTGATTAGTTTGTCTTGAGAGAAAAATAATTGTTGACATTAGACCAAAATATTATCAATCTTTTGAACAGTTTTGTAAATTGCTGTATCATCTAATCAGGTTTTGTCTCTACTGGGCCATGCAAAAAACCACCGCCAAATAATCCCCCTCCCCTCCTTTCTTCACTCCTAAACAAAGAAGCTACTCTACAACTTTTCTGTTATTTAAGCAATGAGATTCAAAAAAAAAAAATTGTTGACATCAATTTTGATTGACCTTCCCCCTCCCCCGTGTCAACAACTGTAAAAAATGATCAGACCCTCCCCCTAATTTTGTTGACGTAATTAATGGACAACCCCAAAGCTCTTTCATTTATTTGGTAAGTAACCTATTAAAGTGTTTTCAAGCCTGAAATTTGTAAATGTATTTTAGAATTTAATTAATAATTTACATTTACAAAAAGCAGAAAGTCTTATTAGTTGCCATTATCAGTATTTTTGACATTCCTCTAGAAATAAAGAAACTGGCTCTGACCAGTTTCTTTATTTCTAAAGGAATGTCAAATTTTAGATTCAATTTTTTGATAAAAAAAAATTATTTTTATCAGAAAGTTAAATCTGAATTTTAAAATTATTGAACAAATTATTTCTTACTTTCTTTGCTATCTTTGCTATTAACATATTGGTTGAATACAATAAAAATCAATCATTGAATTGTTAATTACTCAAAAATTACATTTGATAATGAGATAAATGTTTGCTAGATTGCAAGGAACTTGGGAGCAAATTTCTCAATTTAAATATACTCAAATTTATTTGCCACATGGAAATTGTAAAGAGTCTTTTTTGCAATACATTTCATTGTCTTAAACCACACACTCATTTTCTTGGTTTAAAAGTTTATATAGCATTTTTGAAGTTTATAAAAAATTTTTTTGAATGATAAATTGTTTTAAATAAATTTAAATATAATTGTTTTATTCCATCAATAGATCCCTCCTTTGGAATATAACAATTACATTTAAATAAATTTAAATATAATTGTTTTATTCCATCAATCCCTCCAGAGTTTTTTTTTTTTTTTAATATGATTTTCGAGATCCAAAAAATATACACAGAAATTTTAAAATCAACCAATACAAAACTAAACTTTAGCTATTTGCTCATTGTGCAAAAGTTTAAATTAGATTTTGTTTTAAATTTAGCATTAATTAATAATAGAATAATAAAAAAATATTTAAAAAAAAAAAAAAAAAAGTTTAAAAAAAAACAACATTTATTTATTATGTTTTTTAAAATATTTATTATGTTTTTTAAAATATTTTTTTATTATTCTATTATTAATTAATGCTAAATTTAAAACAAAATCTAATTTAAACTTTTGCACAATGAGCAAATAGCTAAAGTTTAGTTTTGTATTGGTTGATTTTAAAATTTCTGTGTATATTTTTTGGATCTCGAAAATCATATTAAAAAAAAAAAAAACTCTGGAGGGATTGATGGAATAAAACAATTATATTTAAATTTATTTAAATGTAATTGTTATATTCCAAAGGAGGGATCTATTGATGGAATAAAACAATTATATTTAAATTTATTTAAAACAATTTATCATTCAAAAAAATTTTTTATAAACTTCAAAAATGCTATATAAACTTTTAAACCAAGAAAATGAGTGTGTGGTTTAAGACAATGAAATGTATTGCAAAAAAGACTCTTTACAATTTCCATGTGGCAAATAAATTTGAGTATATTTAAATTGAGAAATTTGCTCCCAAGTTCCTTGCAATCTAGCAAACATTTATCTCATTATCAAATGTAATTTTTGAGTAATTAACAATTAAAAAACATAATAAATATTTTAAAAAACATAATAAATAAATGTTGTTTTTTTTTAAACTTTTTTTTTTTTTTTTTTTTAATTTACTATAATTGGTTTAAATTAATGTTAGTATGTTTTTTGTATTTTTTTATTTTTTTTGTATTTAAACACCTTTGTGTTCAATATTGTATAAATATCTGGGCTAGAGAGTTAAATATAATCGTCAACAAGTACCTTATTAATGATTATATTTGATTTACAAAAAGACATTGAAATTCAAATAAGATAAATGTTAAATGAATTAAATTAATAAAGTAAAATGTAGGGTTGTTCACGAAAGCCAAAGTTGAATTTTCGATTAAAAAAAAAGTTTTCGAAACTCTATTTTCGTTTCGGTAAGTTCGAAATAATTTTAAAGTAATTAATTTTGCATCGAAACGATTTTTTTACTTTCGAAGTTGTAAAATTTGCTTCGAAATATTTTTGCGATTTCGAAATTCTGAAAATATTGTCAAAATAATTTTTTACTTTCGGAATTGTAAAATTTGCTTCGAAATATTTTTGCGATTTCGAAATTCTGAAAATATTATCGAAATAATTTTTTACTTTCGAAAATGTAAAATTTGCTTCGAAATATATTTGCGATTTCGAAAATCGGAAAATATTACCGAAAAAATTTTTTACTTTCGAAATTTTAAAATTTGCTTCGAAATATTTTTGTGATATCGAAATTCTGAAAATATTACACAATATTACTATTAAATTCTAAAATTTGTTTATATTTATTTTATTACTGAAATTGTACAAAATTTTATTAAAATATTTTTATAAATAATTAAATTTTAAAAATTAACATAAAATAATACTTAAAATTTTTGGTGTTACGGCCAGAGAAAAGGGTTTAACTACCTCCCACTATTTTATAGAAGAATCTGCAATTAATTTAATAATAACTCAAGGATCGTTCGCAAATCACCTCACATATTTAAGCCTAGCGTGGTTTCGGATTTTGTGACACTTTGGGGAGCTTTTTTATTTTTAGTAACAGGTTTTTTTAAATTTTGGGGCCCTAATGACTTTTTTAGTGTAAACGCTGTATACACTGGTTTGATAATGGCTCTCTGAAATGCCAGTCCTGGCTAGCCGTAAAACGAGTATTGCTGAGCAGCGCAAGTGTTATTACCGAAGCGTAACATCAGACATCTGACCAATATATGGGTTTATATGTATTGTTTGCACTGATAAGTCCATAGACGTAGAGTTTTTATTTTTCCAGATTGGGCTCAAACAGTGGCGTCAATTCAGAAAAAACTTATAAGGAGGAGCCAATTTGTGAAAACAATTTAACTCTTCCCCCCCCCCCCCCCCCTTCACAAACCAAAATCATAACATTGAGCAGCACAATTCAATTTTGTTTCTTGGGTATTTTGTTAAAAACTTTACTTTAAAAACTTTACTTTAATAAAACTTTAAATATATAGAAAATAATACTATTTTTGCTACTTTTTAAAAGAAACTGCTACCAAAAAGCAAGGATATACTCACAGCCGTAATTAGGCTCCCCACGCTCCTCCTTAATTGGGGGGGGGGAAACAAATTTAGGGGGTCTTTTTCAAATTTTTGAAGGCCTTTTACCGACTTTGCCCCATGGACATCTGCTGCCCGGGACAAACAATACCTTTCCCTTCACCTCTTTCGCCTGATTAGATTAAGCTTTATGACTTTTTACTTTTATAAAATTATTTTTAGGGATTATATTTACCGTCACCAAAAGCTTGAATAGCCTTTTTGATAGCTTGAATAGCGTTAAAAAAATAAAAAGTTTTTTTTGCGCGTCGTTTTGATTGCATAAAAATTTCTTTTGAAAATACTTTTTTTATTTCGAAAACACAACGTTTAAAAATCAAAGTAAATTTGAAAGAAAAGTTGCTTAACTTTAGACACTTTAGAAGAGTCTGTAAGGAATTTTATTTTTAATATCTGTAAATTTTTAAAAATAAAGTAGAAGGTCAGCTTAAAAAAATTAGCAAAAACTAAATTATTTTTCGAATTTTTCTCTAA